TGACTTCCTTGAGCAATCTAGTGTTAAATAATATCCTCGAAATTGACTAGGATTTGCAAACGCGATCGGTCCAGCGGGAAAGTTCGAATATTCGCGTCTGGACCGATGCATTGATTCGTCATCTCGGCAAGCCGGGAATCAGCTGTTCGCGAGGCTGGCTGCCCTTGACGAACACGCGTTCACCATTCTCCATTCATGCGGCGAGTTGAGTGTCTCGCCGGGTTTGACTCTCTCTCCCTCTTGCACCATTATTATACGATCCGATCTATTATACTCGAGTGATTTCGAATTAATCTCCGCACCGACCTCGCTCTTATTGATCATAGTCAATAACGTGCTCGACTGTAATTCGCCCGATGCCTGGCCTTCGTTCCCGTATCGATTTCTTCCAACGATTTCATTGTATTAACGTTGTTACAGTCTCGTTTACTCGTTTCCGAAAATCAGTAAACGTCGTCAAAAAATTAAATCTAGTAAGAATTTTCTTGAACGATTTAAACGCTTTTGTGACTCATGAAATCCGCAACGTAGAAACCACTGTGTGAAGAAAATCAGATTCCAAAGCGAACAATAATGAATCTAGTTAGTTGATGAAAAGTGCAGACAGTGATTATTTGTATTAAAGTCGTCAGGAATAAACAAACGTTAGATTCTAGTAGTCACTGTTTGAGCTTCCGGGTTTAAACCATCTATTTTTGTACAATAGATTCATTGGCATAATAGATCCTTTGATTCCCGATAAAATCTACCACATTCTTGCGGTAGATCAAGACATTTTTCCAGAAGTAGGTGGCTCGCGTCCAAAAGCTATAAACGAGAGTCTTATATTTCCGATCTCGGTTCAGGTTCTCGTAGACATTGTACAGTTCTCCGGATATAAATTACATTTTGTCGAAACGCTGTTTATCAAATTTCAGTTTACGCGCGATTCGGAATCGTTTTCCTTATAGTTCGACGGCGAACTCCGCCGGTCGAACTTCTACTAATTCCCTGAATCCGTACATGTGATATTCTGACGCAGTTCGATGTCGAACTCACCCTTTCAGAGGCGAGAAACAAGAATGGATGAATGCAAGCTTACGGCATTTCAAATTTATTTCTGTTCTTTATTTAAACGGATTAAAGAAACGACCGTCCTTCGTTTCGAGTATCTCCTCTTTTTTTTTTCTGGAAAACAGAACGCCTGTCGAGATAAGCTTATCGTAGCTACGAGACGCAAAAATTCTGGGTACGTTTGAACAATTCTGTACTTGAGATCGATCGTGAATAATCTTGTTATCGAAATGGAGTAAGGATAGTGATTGAACAGTGTTTTGTACTTTCCTCGCGGAATTCTAGGAACGTCGTGTACTGTTTGGGACAATGATTTCTGGCCAGCTACGGCTAGTATTGATTTCCACTAATAGAACGAGATTCAAAAAGAGTAATTGTTTTTTCAATGCTGTTGGATTTTGACAAAATGAAAATAATTTTAATTTTTAAAT